GAGAAGAAAGTGGCCATAGAAAGTGAGGATTTTCTGGAAGACTGCAAACCAGTGCTCTGTTACTAATCTGGCTGGCTTCAAAGCACATGAAAGAAGGAAAACACTGACTTCCTCTTGTCAGTGCGGAAGTTTCCTTTCCTTGAACCTTTTTACAGATGTAGTACTCTAAAATGTTGTTCTAAATGGTTTAGCTTGGAGCATCTTCAGAACAACACTTTTAAAAACTGGAGTCACCAACTCTTAAATTTTGAGGCTTAAGATTGTACTGTTTGTTAGCAAAGAGCATAGTTTACTTCATTAATTTAGGTGTAAGGATTACCAGAATCTCTAATATCTTTGACAGAGAAAAAGGTTGGTAACTATGAGTGATCTGTTTCCCATTGCTTAATATTCATCTTCACTTTCAGCACCCTGCACAAGTGTCTGATATGCAGATTTTCCTCTTTCATGATCAAAGTGAATCCAGAGCCACTTCTGGCCGATCTGTCTTGTATAATTTATTGGAACAACAGCTTCTAAGGTCTTTGAAAAGGAGTCATAAGGCCATCTTCTTATCTAAATGCTTTTGCCCTTTTTAATAGCTGGCTGGATTGTGGGGTCTTACTTGCAACTGCATGTGGTTAGCATTGTAACTTGTTTGTATATAGCCTCACATACCTATTTTGCTGTCCCCTAATCATGTTTGTATCCCTGATTTCATTTCTAACTCATATATTTTTGCTATGCCATGTTCTTTCTACAACATGTTCACAGTAGCATAGATAAGTTTATCAGGCAGTCTCCCATCCAGGCAGCTTGTAGTGCCAGATCTGTTTAGCTTCATGTGGGGAACTGTACACCATTCTCTGGGGTGTGTTCTACTTCAAGCAGGTGATTTCTTTTTGTAAGATGTGTGAGTAGGGACTAGATAGATTGATGTCTGTCATTGCACACATATAGCTGCAACTGCAACAACAGAAAGTGCATTAAAACTAGTAGAGTATCTTTTTAAGATACACTAATGTATTGCTCAGATAATAAGAAGCTGTGGTTGTAATTATTAAAGGGATATTTCACTGTGGTGTTCTTAATAAATCCAGTTCTGTCATCTTTTAAATGCCATTTTTATTTCTTTTTCCTTAGATGGTCATTTGGTGTGCTAATGTGGGAGATCTTCACTCTAGGAGGGTCACCATACCCAGGAATTCCAGTGGAAGAACTTTTCAAGCTGCTTAAAGAAGGGCACAGAATGGACAAGCCTGCCAATTGTACCAATGAACTGTAAGAATTCTTTCTTACTGGGCCATATAGTAACATAATATGCTATGGGTTTTCATGGAACAGCTGTCATGCATTTCAATGACACATGCATATAGGGGTATATTTTATTATATCTGTCAATGTATGTGGTATTGCATTAAAAGGAGAACTTTGAAAATTTCAACAGTAAGTGCCAGATTTAGGATGGTACTAATTACACAGTGCTGTGGACCTGCTGAAACCGCAAGTCTCATCAAACCTTCTTTTTAGTTATACACAAGTTCTTTTTAGTTATACACAAGTGGGGACCCACAAGAAATTTGCAGGAGTGGCTATCCCATTCCCCCCCACCTCTGCTTCTCCCCCTCTCATAATTCATAACAGTATTTATGGTGCTCTATTATCCTGTATATAAATCCCCAAGATGGACAGTAATCCCAAATCTACGGCCAGCTTTATTAAATAGCAAGGGCTCCAGCAGTGATGTTCTCCCCACTTCCTCCAGGCGACACATACCCCCCCATAATAGGGGTAGATGATGGAACAGTACCACGGTGGTGGAATAGTGGTGGCAGCGGCTCCTACTCAAAAGCCTGGCGGAAGAGCTCCATCTTGCAGGCCCTGCGGAACTGTATAAGGTCCCGCAGGGCCCGGATCTCCTCTGGGAGCTCATTCCACCAGGTAGGAGCCGCCACCGAAAATGCCCTGGCCCTAGTTTGGGCAAACTTAATGTCTCGGTGGCCTGGAACTTCCAGGAGGTGGAGACTCCCCGATCGTAGTGCTCTTGAGGTAACATACAGGAAGAGGCGGTCCCTTAGGTAAGCTGGACCCCGGCCATTCAGGGCTTTAAAGGTAAGAACCAGCACTTTGAAGCGAATCTGGTATGCTATCGGGAGCCAGTGCAGTGCTTGCAGCACCAGCCAGATGTGGCCACCCAACATCAGATAGAGCTGGGTATCATCAGCATATTGATGACACCCAAGCCCACATCTCCAGGCAATCTGGGAGAGGGGGCACATATAGATGTTAAACAACATCGGGGACAACACAGCTCCCTGGGGCACCCCACATTCAAGGGGGTGCCTTCGGGACTGCTGGTCCCCAATCGCCACCCTCTGTCCCTGACCTTGGAGAAAAGAGGCGAACCGTTGAAGAGCAAGCCCCTGAATCCCCATGTCGGCGAGGTGGCAGGCCAGCAACTGGCGGTCAACCATGTCGAACACAGCCAACAGATCTAACAACACCAGTGCCGCCAAGCCACCTCAATCCAAATGCCTACAGAGAGTGTCAGTCAGCGCGACCAGTACCGTTTCCGTCCTGTGGCCCGGGCGAAAGCCGGACTGGAAGGGATCAAGGACAGAAGCCTCATCCAGGTAGCCCTGTAGCTTTGACGCCGCCACCTTCTCAATAAGTTTGCCTAAATAGGGCAAATTGGAAACCGGCCGATAGTTGGCCAATTCGGCTGGGTCCAAAGATGGTTTTTTTCAAGAGAGGACGGACCATCGCTTCCTTGAGTGCTCCGGGGAACCATCCCTCTGCGAGGGACTTATTGACAGTCTCCCGCAGTGCACCTCGAAACCCCTTGTGGCCTGCTTTAATAAACCAGGAGGGGCACGGATCAAGGTTGCATGTGGTTGGGCGCACCAATACGAGCAACCTATCAGCTTCCTCCAGGCTGAGTGGGTCAGAACACACTAAACCCGGCACCAAAGACTTGCAAGGGACCTCAAGTTCCCTAACTGTTTCAATTGTGGCGGGGAGGTCATGGCGGAGAGCCAAGACTTTATCTGCAAAATAGCTTGCAAATGCCTCACAGCCTAAGTCCAATTCCCTAGCATTTTGCCTGCCCTGAGGCAGAGCTGTCAAGGACTGAAACACACTAAATAATTGGGCCAGGTGTGAGCTAGCAGATGCAATCGAGGTCGCATAGAAATCCCTCTTTGCGTCCTTGACTGCCATCTCATAGGATCTCATAAACGTCCTGTAGGATGTTCTTGACACTTCGTCGCGAGCACAACGCCACCATCTCTCTAGCCGTCTCAGTTCTCGCTTCAGCAGCCGCAACTCCTGGGTATACCAAGGTGCTCGCCTATCTTGCATACACACTGCTTACTTCCAGTCATACAGTAAATATCCTTGTGCTCGGTGGCAACTGTTGCCAAAGCAACTTTAAAAAAATCTCTGTAGCCAATGAGATCTCCAGTGACCAAATGGAAACTCTGCTGAGCAAAAGCCCCACCTGGCCCTCCCACTTTCTAAAAACAATTGGTGGGTGCCGGGAAAAGTATTGGAAGGTGCCATGGGGACCACCTTGGGGACCCCTGCTCTAGTGAATTGTTTTAACCTCTTCTGGCCAGAGAACCATTGACAGCAGGCCTTTTGTTCATTATACATCTAAGTCATGCAGGATATATTTCCTTAAAAGAATTGTCCATGGTTTGTAAATCCGTATTCTTTCAAAGCATTTACATTGATCATGTGGCTGTCTCATCTATCAAAAATATGTTTTCCTTGAACTGTCTAAACATGCAGTGTGTGAAGCACAAATTCAGTCTGTAACCAGCAGTGGAACCCACATACACATATCTATAGATGTGGCATATCTGAGAACCATTGCCAGCTATTCAAAGAACTGGTGTTTGGCATTGTGTTTGTACTATCTTACACCAGCAATGAACATCCTATTTTCATATAATTTACTTAAAGGTTAGGAAAAGTTATATGAAAGAGGAAACTGGTCTGGGTTATTGTTCCAGTACTGACTGTGCGCAGTGCTACAACACACAGCCAGCAAGAAGGATTTCTGAAATGGGAGGCCCCAGGATATATGCGAGATGGAGTAAGCTTGGTGCTCTAAACATTTAATGTTCCAGTGCTCTTGTTAAAATAAAAACAGCAGCAACATTAAAACTGCTCAGGCAAAGAAAAATGAAAAGTTGTATCACCCATCATTTAGACACCAATGTCACTTTTTAAAATGAAAATGGTTAAGGACTTTCTGTAGGCTTCATTGATGTATTTGCTATCATTAGATATGTTTCTATTGAAATTTCACTACTTTCTTTCCTGAGCTTCATTTTAAAAAGGCAGAATATAAATTTGTTGCCAGTGATGATAGTATATTGATGCCTGTAAAGTTACAAACGCAAGTAGGAGGTAATTACCACATTGTATCCTGATTTTCCCTGTCCACAAAGGTTTCTTAAATAAAGAGTACTGCATTCCAAACTATAACATATGAACATAGCTTGACTTTCAGCTAAACAGCAGTGCAAGTATTATTGAACAGAAAAGTTGCATGTCATAGACACATGGAGTTAATTAACACAGTGAAATGCTGGTTTCCACAGCTACATGATGATGAGAGATTGTTGGCATGCAGTGCCTTCACAGAGACCAACTTTTAAGCAGCTTGTAGAAGACTTGGATCGAATCCTCACTCTCACAACTAATGAGGTTAGTAAAACACCTGTTGATTAAAACATTGATTCGGCTCCATGGCTCATGAGATAAATTTAATTAATGAAAACAGGAAATTTTGAAATATCAGTACTAACATACAACTATAGATTATATTATAGATTCATGTTTTGCAGCAGCAATTTGCCCTCCTATCTGGGACCCATATCCTTAAGTGTAAAAACATCCTTCTGCTCTCATTGAGACAGTATTGGCAAAGGAATCTGCTTTCCCCATAGGAATGAATGAGAACACTTATTAGGAGATAGCAGAAGGATACACTTGATGATACCACAGTAGAGAGAGGGAGAGCTAACCTGTTTGCTGATTTTAGTGACCTCAGCCATTGAGACTCAATCCCAGTCCTGTCTATATAACTCAATTTTTGGCTTGGTTTCTTGCTTATACTTAAAGTAGGACAGAACATTGCAGGCTGATTTTATACATAAAGATGCAAAATAAGTCCAGCTACAGTACCAAGCTTAGTTATTGATTGTAGTTTGGAAAAGGTATTTGGGGAGGGTGTTTGGAGGTCACAAGCGATAAAACACTGAGACCTCCATTTAATCTGAAATGTGGTTTCTCCATAAGTGATTTTTTTCTTTACTTTGAAACTATATCACATTTGGAGACCAGCTCAGGCTCTGTAAGTGTACTTGCAATCATAGGCCCCGGTCACACAGGAAGGTTTTGGCCCGGAAGAGGGACAGATCGGGGGTGCAGCAAACGGGCGCGATCCAACTGCAACATCTGGGAAGCAATCGAGGCTCCTGGCCGAACTGCGCATGCGCACACATGTGCAGTTCGGCTGCCTCGCTCTCCCTTCAGTGGCTTCCCCTCGGCATCTGATCGTGCCGGGGAGGAACTGCGCGGCGTCTCAGGGGATCTATCTGATCCCGCCGCCGCGTGTCTTTTTGGGTGCGGCTCTAAAAAGCCGCACTTTGGCCGTTCTTTTTCCCCCGTGTGGCAGGGGCCATAGATTATCTTTCAAGTGTATTACCTGCAGTCACATATTGTCTTTCAAATATTTAACATGGAAGAAGCACACTGGGATGTATATGAAAAGATTTACCTACAAGAATCCCTGGTAATGAAGTCCCTGAATCTAACAATCAACCAATAGTTCAATTTCATCACAGAAAATCAAGTAGAAGTTGACACAATAAATGATGGTGCGAATGGCTCCCAGATGAACATATAATCTGTTGGATCTTCTTGAATCACATGGATACAACCTTTCTTTGGATGTTCTAATAGCTTCCTCCCTTCATTTGTGCCAGAAATTTCCTGCTCTGTCTTGTTCCTAAAAGCTGTCGTGCTAATTTATATTGAGGAAATGATTACTTCTTTTGAAGTCAATGGGAGATTTGCCATTGACGATGAAGACGCCACAATTTTACCCTGTATGCATAGATAGAGTGATATTGTTTCTTGGTTGATGCAGAGATCAGAGACCAGACATGAAAAAAATACTTCTAAATAGAAGTAACGTTAGATCAGAAATGCACAGTCAGCTACTTTTTGCCACACATAGTGTCCTCTTTATTTTGTTGACTGTTGTCTTACCAAAACATTTAAAATGCTGATTTTTTTTTTAAGATAATTGGGAAATTTGTGAAAACCAGCTTTATCTCATTGATTTTTCCCTCTTAGAATAGTAACTTGTGGTTTAGCAAATGAAGAGGTTGTATTTAAATGAATACAGCTGCTTTGCAGAAGTTGAAAGAGAAGGAGTGTTTCAAGGAAAAAAAGAACTTTATTCTCTTGCCAAAGCTGTTATTTCTAGAAGTCCTTTCACCCTGGATTTCATTTCAGCCGTTACTGCGCCTCTTTTCTTTTTCATGGATCTATGAAAATGCCTTGGGATGCTCTCCTGTGCAAGTCCATTGCAGTGAATAGGAGCTGCCCCCACATACTTTCATGCGTTTGCAGAGCTTCCATTGATTTCAGTGAGTTTTGCACAAGACAGTTGCCCAGTTGGTTGTGACCCACATATGTTAAGGCAGGAGGAAACAGCAATCAGACATACACTCTGATGTCAGAATACTTTAGAGACTATTTTAAGATGTAAATGCAAAAGGTTCTTTTGCATATTCAAACTGAAACTCATTGTCACCAAATGCAAAATATTCAACAAATAAATGAGAATCAGAATGGAATGTTCATTCCCTCTGCTAATCACTTCCATGTGCTTGACAAAAACAGTTCTGTGCAGGGTAAAATTTCATTTTTATCATCATAAGCAAAAAGTTTGCTTTTGATGTGGCTAGTATATATATTTCAACCGGTGTGGTTAAAGTTGATTTTGTTGGAACTGACATGTCTGCCTCGAAATGCTTTCTTTTGGCTCCCCCCACCATTCTTCTGGTGACTTCTGGTTTTATGAGCTGTGTAAGGGCCAGTCACTTGTGGAGTGACTCATCTTAACACAGAGTGGCCTCAACCTGGTGTTGATTTTGTAGTCCATGAAACATATAGGTCGCATAGGACATAGTTCAGTCTTAAAGTAATATGGGATTATTTTCAAATGTCATTTCTGATCTGTCTTACAGGAATACCTAGACCTCAGTGGACCACTGGAACAGTATTCACCTAGTTATCCAGACACTAGGAGTTCGTGTTCTTCAGGTGATGACTCTGTTTTTTCTCCTGATCCAATGCCTTATGAACCTTGTATTCCTAAATACCAACACATAAACGGCAGCATTAAAACATGAGAAGAACCTTTCTTTATCCCAGATGGAATAAGGGAACAAGGATATCCATCTACCTACCATGTGAAAAGAGAGCCTTTCTTCTGACACACAAGATTTTTGTTTGTACATATGAAAAGTAGGGACCAAAACAAAGCAAAATATTGGTCAAAATGTTTTCAGAACATATGGAAACAATGTTGTGCATAGGAACTCCAAACAATTTTCAGAAGAAGAGAATTTTTATGGGCCACATATGGACACAAGTTCGTAGGTCAGTTCTTAGGCCTGGAAGCCGCAACACACTTTCTACATTTGATGGACCAGTTGGACTTGAGGCAAACACTGGGTCATGCCTTTCTTGTTTATTTTGTAATATTTGGAGAAAATATATGTTGACACACACTCACAGAGCACAAATGCAGTATATAGGTGCTGGATGTATGTAAATATAATCAAATATGTATAAATATATATATTATATATTTACAATGAATTATTTTTTGTATTGATTTTTTAAAAAATGGATGTCCCACTTCACCAAGCAAATTAGTATCCTTTTAAAAAAAACAAAAACAAAAAAAGTAGCCACATGTAATTGCTGTTCATAGAAAAGAAGAAAAGAAAGAAAAAAATCCACTATCCAAAGGTGGAAAACACTTTGCTTTCAGGGAAAATGGTATATCATTAATTTATTAATTAATTGGTAATGTACAAAAGCAATTAATCTTTTATAGCGTTTGTGTTATTTTGTAATTTAAATGGCATTTCTATGCAGGCACTGCAGAGAACTAGTGGATATATTGCTCAAACTTTATTAGTTGTCAGAGTCTTTTTTTTTTTAAGAGAGAAATATTTACAGTATATAACTAATTTGGGGGATTAAGGTTTTGATTAATTCTGGTTTTTAAAAGTACAGTTTAAAGTTTTTGACTAATCTCAATAGTCCCATTAATTAAAAAGTGTCCTTTATCAAGGAAGTATTTTGCTCTCTGTATCTCCAGTTTTTTAGCTGTCTTGATGGTCATGCAAAACAACTCTTCAAGGGCAAAACAGTAATATAGAAAGCACAAAGCACTCTTCCTAGGCAATCCTTATTCATTTTGATGAGGTTGCCCAGTGGGATATGTCTAATAGCAAAGATTGTATTGACTCCTGGAGAGAAGAAAGAGCCTAAGACTTTGCTATAGCTTTATAAGATGCCCTATATCTATATCTATTTCTTTTTGTACATGCATCAAATTAGCAACTGTTACCTTCATTGAACTTCTAGTAATGCTTTCCAGATATTTTGACCTAGCTCTAGCATTTGTATTTTTATTGCCATTAATGAGACAGCCAAGATTTTCACAGTGGCAATTAACAAAAATTCTCTTTGGAATCCCACTGTCTTTTAGAGGGTTTATTCTATTCTAGATTCAGTACAACTTTCCAAACCGTTTAACTATTTCCAGGCATAAGCACTGTTTTATGACCAAAAATGTTACTGCATTTCTATAACTTGCCTTTTGAATGGAAAAAAGCATGATGTGCTCACATTCAAAGCACCTTTCAAGCTGGTGTAGCCATGCAATATGAATGCAATTCATACTGACTTTACACATGGAAAAAATGGGGGAGGGGGTCTAAAAGTATTAAAATTGTTAATTTTTGTACTGACAATAAAAAAAATCTTTCTACAGATATTAATGTTAACATTACAAAATAAATGTCATGCATCTTATTTTTCTTAATCATTTGTGTCTTACAGAATACAGGTTTTTTCCCCCATGAGAGAACTATTTGTAGACTCAAATCAGAAACACCCTGTTGATTTGTCTCAGCAAGTCCCTATATAGTGCATGACGGTTGTTTACATTTGGGGTAATCCATTACTTCCTCTCACTGTGCAATTTCAGTGGGCTTGAGTGGGAGTTGCACTTGAGAGGCTGACCTGAGCGGAAGCAGGCATCTGTGCTGGACAGGAAGCCTCTTGTACACAATGGTTGCTGTATGTGAAATTCCTGATGTTGTATTTCTGCATCCAGCTCTTGGGGCTGAGTGATTAATTTCTAGCACTGGAACCAGACGTTTGAAGGGGTTCCATGCATGCATGTCCCAGAGCTGTATCTGTTCATCCAAATTCATGGCCTGGTTTGGCTGGACAGGGACAAAAATGTTCTTGTGGATTCCACCTCTCCACCCTCTGTACAGGTGAGTTGAGTTGTGAAAGTAGACACCGCTAATTGTATACTAAGTGGCAAGGCACTTTCTTGCTACATATATGCAGTAGTGTTACAGGCAACCCATGGGCCCTTGGGTGTAAAGGCTGTTGTGTTTGCCCATGTTGCTTAAACATCTAGCATGCGCCTGTGATATTAACACTGCATAACTGCCCTACAGCCTTTTGTCTTCTTAAATTCACATCCTATCTGCTCTTTACAACCACTTCTAAGAGATCCATCACTACAATTTTGTCTCCTTTTAGTTGTTTCAGTCCAAAGTGACGTCACTCTGTTTCACATTGTCCTACGCTATCACCACATTTAGTGGTGAATTTTGATCAAACCTTTTGTAATCCTAGCTTTAAATATTTATCTTTCATACTATGGACAATTCTCATACTAAACTACAATTCCCAACTTTTAAATGGCCACATCTCCTGCTTTTGGCAGGTCAGAAAATCTGCTTCAGTCAGGAAAAGTTTGATGAGAGAGTTGGTCCTTTTTAAATACAGCTATAGTAAGTAGGTGGGGATATGTATAAAGTATATGTATGAAGATGGTATATGTCCAAAAAGTCAAGTGGAAGTCATGGAGAAAAATAATTTTATCATTTCCTTGCAAGATATTGGCTAAACTGTTATATTTTCGTTGTCTTATCTGAAGTCCAGAGATAAAGTGAGAAGGAAAATGATACATTTTCTGACACAGAGCCTAGTATTAGTCAGTGAGATGCACTTTATCATGAATTTGCATTGGAGTAGAAAGGTCTAGTCATGGAAATGGGAAACTGAGTATTTACTTCAAATGTTCATGGGAAGCAAAAAGAACAGGCAAAATTTAAACATAATACAAAAGCTAAGGTGTTCCAGAGACTGCAAAAGAAGATAATGCAACATGGTACCTGTGAACTGGAACATTTGGCTTTGGGATTATTTAAACTTGTGCCTCTGTGCTTGGATCAGAATCAAAAAGGGACTAGAGGAATGACAAGAACAGCATAAACTTGCAGGTGCCTCTGCTTTTTGGAGCAGCCCATGGCTTAATCTATTTGAGCAAGAAAAAGTGAGAATGTATGGGAAAAACCCACACCACCTAGAGCCAGACTTTAAGTTCAGAAAAAGGTAGTAGTCGAGGTACAGTGTTTTGTCTAGACATTTCTCTCTGGCATAGTTTAATCTTTATAGGCCTGTAGTAGTACTTCCTTTTCCCAAACTTTGTTGCTCCAGGGATGTATGAACTGGAAACTAAATATTGTACCACAGATAATTGGGGATGTAACAGCTATCCAAATGTTTGTCACAGTGGCCCTGGACTAAATATATGCAAGTAAAGTTTAAATGATGCAATAAATGTGCACAAAAATCACCAAGTACAGCTGGCTCTGCCACTCACCAAAGACTCTTGAGTAAGCTTAATAGTCACGGGATAAGAAGACGACGATCTGGAATTGAGGAAGAGCACTGTGGTAGCCAAATTTGCAGATGATAATTAAAAAAATTTTTTTGCAGATGATATCAAATTATTCAGGGGGGTAAAAACCAATGCAGATTATGAAGACCTCCAAGAAAATCTCTGACTGGGCAACAACATGGCAATTGAAGTTCAGTGTTGATAGTGTAAAGTTGTACCCATTGGGACAAAAACAAAAATACTGAATTTAAAAATATGCTGATTGGGTCTGAGCTGGCTGAAACCAAGAGTGAAAAAAATCTTGGGGTTGCAGAGGATAACTCAATGAAAATGTCAACACGGTGTGCTAAAGCAGTGAAAAGGGCAAACTCCATGCTGGGGATTATTAGGAAAAGGATTGAAAGTAAAATAACCAATATTATAATGCCCTTATATAGATCTGAGCCTGCTTGCGGGATGGGCGGGGTATAAATATAAATAATAAATTAATAAATAAATCTATGGTATGGCATAATTTGGAATGCTGCATACAGTTATGGCTCCTGTTTTTAAAAAATGTACTGCAGAGCTGGAAAAAGTGCAGGAGAGGGCAACCGAGATGATTAAGGGGTCTGAACACTTTTTCTTATGAGAAAAGATGAAAGAGTTGGGAGTGTTTCAGTTCATAAAAAAACAACTGAGGGGACCTAATAGAGGTTTATAAAATTATGCATGGTGTGAAGAAAGTGGATAGAACTTTCTCTCCCTTTCCCCTAGTTCTAGAAGTTGGGCACTCCATGAAGTTGGTACTCAGTAGATTCAGGATGGACAGAAGAAAGTATTATTAGGGCTTAGTTTATTGCTACTTTAAAGTATGGCCTGATGTCAGTGAATTTATTGGCTGAGAAGAGCTGAAATCTTTATTCAGTCATGAAATTCAGTAGGTGACTCTGGGTCGTTCATTATCTCTCAGCCCACCCCTGTGTTCCTTACCCTGAACTCTTTAGAAGGACAGCGTAAGAATGTAAAAAAAGAGTGCACTCTCCAAATTGCCACTGAGAAGGCTTAATGTAGTTTGACAGCTAGACATTAAATTTTATTCCATACAGCCTGCCATATCTTTAATGGTTGCAAAACATCCCCTAGTGGGGGAGCCGCGGGAGATTAGGACCAAGCCCAAGAATAGAAGATCTTTCAGCAGAGAGGAGAGTGACTCTATTCTGCCTCCCGTGATGGTGGTGGGCTCAACCACCAGGATGGACTCTGAAGCAACGCCATTAGGTGTGTGGATGTGTGGATGTTGTCTGGATGCATGTAAGAATGATTAAATAGCCTGCTATTGATGTTGAGGGGAGTGGTAGAGAGACTGGTTGTGAGTAGTGTTGAATGTGGGTGTAAGAGTGGCTAGGTTTCTTTTGTTTCTTTTACTACAGCCGTGTACGCTATTGTGTACACTATTGTATAGAGCGTGAGGATATATTGTATACCAGTGGGGTAGGAACAGTACTGGGAGGACGGCTGATTAACTGTTACTGGCAGTCTGGAGCTGCAGCGTGGACCGGCCAATGGCAGCAATGCCAACACAACAGATTCCGGTGCTCTTTGGGAGGGGAAAGTATAGCGGGGGGTCCAGGCTGCGGAGTATGGGAAGGGTGCTGAGAAACAAAAGGGCTTGGTGCCCTTCCAGCCTGTGACCCATCCCAAAGGATGATGGCAGTGGGGCTAGGATTAGGAACCCCCCTCCGACATTGGTGTTGTGCAATGCCAGGTCTATTAACAATAAAACAATGGTCCTTAGGGACTTCATTACAGAACAACAGGCTGACCTGGCTTGCGTGACCGAGACCTGGGTGCGGGAAGGGGAGACTGTAGCTCTCACCCAGCTTGCTCCACCTGGGTT